TTCTTGCCCCCCTGAGCACACTGCTGGCTCCTGCTCAGCTCCTGTCTCTCCACACTCCCAGGTCCCTTTCTCCTGGTGCTCTCCAGCCACTCTGGCCCAGCCTGGAGCTCTGGGTGGGATTCTGTAATCTCTGGTATGCCATCAGGTGCTTAGCTGTAGGATGGTTACTATACCTGTTTATTTATCTTTTTCCCCCCCCAAATAAAAGTTACTTATCTTAATATCTGCTGCAGATGGAAAGCTGAGACCTGACACTGGGTATATCACACTAAAAGTTACTTTCAGATAAAAGCAAGCAGTGAATTGTGGTTCCAAAGAGTTCTCATCTTTTACTGCTGCTTTAAATAGGAACTGAGAACTATGTGACTGATGTTTGTAAATGGAAATACACTCCCATATAGTAAGGAATAACAGACAAGGCTATAAAAGGGGTTAAATGACTATCAAGGAAATTTGGAGAGGGAAAGGATTATTTTCAAATTACAAGGCCTGACATAATACTAAATTTTCCTCTGGATTAGAAATGCTGAATACATTCCTGTCACCAGGGAATTCAACAGCCAGAATCAGCAAAAGTTCTCCCTACAGGACCAAATTTATATTGAAAATAATACACTAATTAAACAAAATCTACTTTAAGGAATCATCTTCCCCAAACAAGGAAAAAACCCCCAAACATGACCCACAAAAATACTTCATGCAAGTCTGAATTCCTTTGGGCAATCCAGCAAGAGATGCCCCAAATCCACCTAAGCAAAATATTCTGCCAGAAACCCCATTTCTATCTCTGCTTTTTATAATATGTTGTGGACTGCAATCACAGTTATGCTTTGAAGCCAAGACAACTACAGTATCCAGATACAACCCCGACTTGCTCTATAAAACAACCTAAAATACCATCTCTTCATCCTTCCTTAGAAATTACAACCAGAAAGGAATTTTTCCTAAAGATGTTACTGATTTTCCCATTACTCTCGTTGCATATCAACATCCTCATTTCCTACATCCTTCACTCCTTTTCTCCAGAAGAGAACCAAGTCCTCAAGCCCATGGAGCACTGAGCTCCCCTTATAACCCATTCCAGTCACTGCATCCTCCCACAGCCCTTGGAGCACCCAGACAGGACTGGCAGATGGGGATGGCACAGGGAACCTCTGGCATTTTCACCCAGACACTCACAGCAGGTAACTGCCCAGTGATGTCCCACCACTCCTGCAGGAGTGTCCCTTCCCCAGCTGTCCAAAGGTCAGGAGGATTTACACCCAGCCAAGCTGGCAGCACTTTCCACCTTTTATCCCTGCAAAGCTCTGCACTAATGCTCATTAGCAGACCCACCTAACTTAAAACACAATACACGTCTGTGCTTGCATTTTGGGGATTTTATTTTAGCTTTGGACTGATCCCTGCAGAGGACATGGAAGGGCAAAGGTCTGAAACTGGACTGATCCTTGCGGAGGACATGGAAGGGCAAAGGTCTGAAATGTCTGTTCTATACAAATCAACACTTTGATAGGTTTGATAACATTACAAAATCAAATTAACCTAGGATTCTTTAAATATTAAAGAGAGCCAACCCTTCTCCATGAACTCAGAATTTGTTTTATATCAGTTTTTCTAGGGAATATGAATTACAGTCTCCCATGCAGGATCTAAGCTTGGATAATAAAATTAGAATGCTGTAGCTTTGCCCAGAGAAAGTGCTATTGTTTCACTAAGCAGCCACAGTATTTTGTTAAGCAGTGATAAGAATGTTCTGTATCCTGCACCAACACACCATGAACAATGACTTCAAATATTCAGTCCTGGATATTCACCTAGAGAGCAGGTTAAGACATGACTTTAAACCAGGCCTGCCACATTCTGCTGAGAGACCTATCAAGCTACTTTTCTTCACTGGGAAAAAGGGGGATGAGAAATTCTCTGTGTATTAATAATTGATCTGCCGTAGGTTTGGTGATGGCCAAAGCCATCAAACAGGCTCTAATATTATAGGATGTGGAATGGAGCCATGGGATAAAAGTCAGAGATCAGAACAGAATACAATGAGGCCAAACAGTTCACTTCTCATCTTCCATCCCAAGAAAAAAAGAGAAGAATAAAAGAATAAAAGTCAGGGAAAATAAAGCATGCACAAACACAGAGAGACCTACATAAAAATAAAATAACCTGTATTATACAGAATATTCTATGCTTTAGAAAGACAGAGGAAAACTATGACATATTCCTGCCATGCTGAGGAAAAGCACCAAAAGGTGCTCAAGGGAATGGTAAGAACAATTCATAGTGAGAAGAGCATTTGGGACAGAAAATGACAAAGGAGAGAAAACTGAACAAAAGTCACATGGAGACAAAGACTCTGTAGCACTGCAGCAGACAAAAATAGCACAAAGAGAAGAGCAGTTTGAGGGAAATATTGTCAACTACTTGCTACATTTTACAGAAGTGTTGACAGGAAAGTGATGCCCCAGCACAGGTAGAGCTGCAGACATCAGCACTGGGAACACCAGTGCAGTGCTTAGATTTCGAGGTACATGAGAAAGTGGAACTTTGAGACATGCATTTTTCACACAAACCAACAAACTCTGGGATACTTTCCCAGCTGTACATAGGACACAGTTATGAACATCTGACAATGTCTGTGTACTTGAGAGGATTTCACTTCAAACCTTTGGTTATCACTGTTACCACCTACAGGTCATAATGCTGATTCCATTTTGGGTCAAGTGTGTTCTTCACAGTATCTGTAGAATGGCATTGGCCAGATCCATCCACCACAACCTTAGCAAAGGGATCAGGAAGTCCTAAGAGGAGGAAAAGAAAACAAACTAGCAGAGGGATCAGGATGAAGTCCTGCATCACTGCACAAAAATCTTTTATTTGAAGTTCCTTTTATTCATAGTAAGAGCCACATTTAATGAATGGGAAGAGTATGACATATTAAGCACAGGAAATGGCTAAATTAGCAATTTATTTCACTGATATGGACATTTAACAACACATTGTGTTGTTAAATCAAACACATTTGGGAAAAGAAAGAATCTGAACACCTTAACCTTCCTAATTCAGGTTTGAGCAAATTTTCGGTACACGAAAAAGTCAGTCAAAGGCAGAGAAAACAGATTTACATCCTTCTTATGTTTAAGATCAATCACAATTATGATTTTGGTTGGTATTGGTAGTACAGAAAATTGCCTATAACAGGGTTTTCTGTAGCTTTCTGCTTCATCTTCTTGCAGCTTAGTCCCTTGGAAACACTGACCACAGGTTCAGCTGAACATCACACATCAGTGCCAAGGTGGTGCTGAACCAGTCAGCTGGAGATGGAAAAGAACCAGGACCTGACAGCCAATTAGCACCACTGCAACCACCCCCAGGGATGGTCCCATCACTGCTGCCCCCAAGTCACACACTCCTGTCCCTTTTTCCCCCACACTAATTCCTCCCTCATCCAGCGCTCGGTGAGTCAACTGGAGGAGCTAAGGAGGTGAAACATTAATCACATTTGCTGTAGAGCAATTTGGCCCCAGTTCCACCTCCTCAGGTGACTCGTGATGGAGCCAGGTGGGCAGCAGAGTGGCTCAGGACAAGTGTCAGGGAAGCACGTGGGGATGAAGACAAGGCAGGTGGGGAAGAGAAGGAACAGGACCTTGGGAGATCTGTGCTCGAGCACAGAAGTGCATCAAATCTAGAGGGCTTGGAGTATTTGCACTCCTAAAAAGTTACAATTGATACAAAAATCCAGATATAAGGCACATTTTGGGGTATTTGCACTCCTAAAAAGTTACAATCGATACAAAAATCCAGATATAAGGCACATTTTATTAGTGTCACAAATGACAGTGTAATTCTGTATCATCCCTTCTTCCAGCTCTTTTCACAGCTCAGGTCTGACCCCTCCAATTCCTCCTGCTCCCAGGGGGGAGGAGCAGGCAGGTGAGCTGTGTGTGCCTGCACAGCCAAGAGCATTCCTTCCTGCCTCCTTCATCTACTACTCAGCTCTCCTTTCACAACATTATTAAAATTAATTAAAATATAATTTCAGAGTAGGTCAGTATCATGGGGTGATTATTACTAATTAAGCAGCACATCTGTTTGCTGGACAAAATGTTCTTAGATGAATAACATTAATATGTGACACTAACTGAAAAATATGTCATTTGCCTGAGTGAGTAAATTTGTTTCCCACTCCCATAAAAACAGTGTCAGTGTTTTAATTACTATTATGAATCTGTGATGAGCGAGTGGCACCTCTGAAAGGGTTAGAAGTCCTGAAATAAAACAGTGTGAAACCATCAAAGCCCTCAGCCCATTTCTGCAAATATCTTAGCACAATAATCATATGCACACATTGGGCTAAAGAACCTGCATGATATTTACCCCATCTACAACTAAAACCAGCAAATACAAAACTTTCACAGCTACTTACGGAAAAAGTCCTTTTTCACCAAGTTTTTTGCACACAGTACTGTAAGAAAAACAGAAAGGCAAAATTAAGTTACTGATTGCCAACTTAAAAAGGAAAAAAAGTTACTTTACCTGTCCAGTATTCCAGAAAATTCTGTTTAGAACAAAATGAACATGAATGAACTGTGATCCTTCAGTTCATAAACCCTCGATCATAAACCCCAGAGCATCAGGCAGCCAAGGCTGTTCTCCTGTGTGCTAATAAATAAAAGGTTTCACCTGAAAAACACTTGGGTGGAGCAGACTAACTTCTGAGGCCAGAGTTTTGATGGTTCCAAAGATATCTTTTATTTTGTAGAGGCTGATAATTGTTTCAGGCTTTTGTTTAAATTAAAAGCAGAGGAACATTTGCATTTGTCCACTAAAAATACCAAGGGGAAAAACAATCTTCTATGAGAGTAAATTTGAATAAGCAAATAAATAAATAAAAGGTCAAAGGGGACAACTTCCATAAAAAGATGCCAAGGTACACACAGAAGAAGTCTCACAAACTGCATCACTGTTCAGCTGCATCTGCTTATCTGTTATCACAGGTTTAGCAAGCAGGAAATATTGGATTCCCCTGTGAAACATTAAAATAGTTACTGATAACACCAAAGGATTCTTGGGAGCTAAATAACGAATTCCCACAGCTAGTACAAAAAAAGGCAAAAAGGGGAGTGGGGGAGAGGTATTTGGTTGGAACCAAAGCTGCAGGAGGCTTCTCAGTATACAATTCCCTTGGATAGTTTTCCTATGAGATCTCCAGTATTTATTACTACCAGGGAATGCAAAGACAGAAAAATGCATCCAATAATCACATCTCACAGACACCACCTACACCCAAACAAAACTGATCACTTCTCCCCCAGAACATCCTCACACTGACCCTGCAGAGCTCCTGATTCCCCAGTTCCTTTGACACTCTCTGCCTGAATAAAAGCAAGCAGAAGTAGTCCATGAACACTCCCACAGAGATTTCCACAAGCAGGACAGGGAAGCTCCACTCTGTGCAGTCTAAATCAATGGAATTAATGTTTTCCTGATTTTTACGTTCATTAGGAGGTAGATTTTAATGAAACTGCTTTCTTTGGGAATTGAGCACTGTCAAATGTAGTTTTGGTCCTCCGTAAAGGATTCACCCATTAATGGCTACAGTCCTAGAGCTATCCCCTCACACTGACATATTCCACAGGAAAAGGACACATAAGCTCCCAGGAAAGTTTCAGCACAGTAGTTGGGTGCAAGGGGCTGCTAATAAGAACACTGTTAGCCTGAAAAAGATTGCCTGGCTCCAGGTTGTTAGCTGGTGGGATGTCTCAGATGAGAAAAGTAACAATTACAATTTTTCTCCATTCAAAGACATCCTGGCAGTCCTCAAGCAGAGCTCCATTTGAGGGATTTTCACCCAATAAATCCACTGTAAACAGTAACAGTAGTAAAATACTAACAGAGAGCCAAAGGTTTAGGTATTTTTGATAGCTGGTGTTCAATCAAGTGTAGGAAACACTGTCACATCACCCTCTGCTCCATAAGACATTCAACCAAGTCTCTAGGATGGTGTAATAAAACCCCACAGTTACTAAAGTCTCCCATGTTCCCAGCAATTCAAAGTCTACTCTATCCAGACCACTGATACCAACTTAATGGTATGTGAAGAAATGGATAAGACAAACTTAGCAAACTGCGTCTGCAGCTCCTTAAGATTTTATTACACCAAGAATGTCCTCAGCCCAAGCTGTCAACAGCTGCCCAAGAACCCACCAGCCACTTTTCATCCAGTGGTGAAAAACCTCAAGTCAAATAGATCCTTACATAGATAGGCCCTTTTTTAAATATCTAAAAAGATATAATTATTGGCACAATTTCACCCACTGCATGAAGTGGGAAGGGTCAAGCAAAGCCGAAGGCTTTAAATCCAATACCTAAGTCAAAGCTCATCTCTAGCACAGTGAGCCACACAGTGTGCTCCTCTAACTGTACAGTGTGCAAGACAAAAGAGGTTGGACTAATCTTATGAGAGGAATTGCAAGGTTAACTCATTGCAAACACTTCTTTTCAGAATAGTAAGCAACCCTGCCAGGGCAATTTAACCAAAGTCCCATTTTTATAAGATTGGGCACACACAGACTAATAACCACTTCCCCAGCAATTAGCCATGAGCGAACAAACTAATGTTTTTGGCTCAAGATTCCCCTCTCTAGTAACCACATTTAAGGAAAGTCAGATGTCAACCCACTCTGGCTTTGTCAGCTTAGCAAAACAGGAGAGACTCTGAGAAACCTTCCATTAACAACAGCCTCTCTGCCAGGTATTTCTGGGTGGAATAGCCCAGGTCCCAGGAACTTCAGCTCAGTTTGAAGGGAAACAATCTTCTTCCTTACACAGAGCTCTGATCTATCTCAGGAATTTGTTTGGACAAGGCTTTTCCCACTGGTGGGAAAAGTACCAGAGTTTATGCTCTACTTTTCTACAGTTTCGACACCATATTAAAACCTATTCTGAATATTCTGATAACCAACTGATTAATAGTTCCTTGAGAATAAAGACTAAGGAAGTTTGGTTTCCTATGGATTTATGTTTTATGGTTGACTGAAAGCTATGGCTGAGGCTTTTCCCACCAGTCAGGCACTTAGACTCTCCCACACAGACTCTCCAGTGGTGCAGCAGCACAGGATCTCCTGCTGCAGCTTTTTCCTCTCACTGCAGGTCACTGCCAGGGTCTCCTCTTTATCCAGGCAATGATTCTCATAAAACTCATGGGACTTCATTATCTTTGAGTTCTCTATCCTATGTTCAATTGGAAAACCAGAAAGAACCACAGGGAGATTTCTTTTCCCTGACAAAGCCAAGTTAACATGCTGATGGTTCTGGACCCAACCCACACCATTATCAGATCTATGCACTCACACCATTCATGGATCCTCTGGAAGCACGAAGGAAGATATTTGTTATTTGTGCTTGGTTTAAGACACCTCTTATTAAAATTATTTTTAAGCAAAAAAAAGTTAAGCAATTTAAACTTGGACTTCAGTATACTCGAATACAAACCATGGTTGGACATACTGACACAGGCTTGGGAAAGAGCTGAGGGATGTGTTGTACCATCAGTGCATCATCAAATGGCACTGGTGGCTTCTAGCACACATATGTAGATAAAGTATTCATTACAGAGTATCAGTGAGTCAGTGGATAACTATGTTTTGTGTTTATTACAGACTTCCTGGGTAGTCTACAGAAAAGAGAACATTAATATTCCAATATGAAGGAACAATACAGACGTGCCAAGACAAACAGCACATCAGTTTTACATGCTCCACGTTCATTAAATGTCTTTTTATCATGCTTTACAATCTCATTCTAACATGTGCTACTCAGGGCAGCTCACAGAAATGTGAAAGGAGCACAATATCATCATCTGCCCACCCTCCTTCCTTGACAGCTTTGCTACACACAGTCCTCAAACACTCCGAAATAGGAATTCGGTGAATCACATTTGCCAATTTCCTCTTTCTGACTTACTACTCCAGTGGCTGACAAAGGAGGGTTTGCTGACAAATAATTTAACTCTTGCAAGTACAGGCAAAATATTGAAGACCCTCAAAATCCTGGAACCTAATGTATGTGTTAGCCATTAAAATTTACATGCAATTATAAAACGGTATGAGCAATTGGCTGAACACACATAAAAAAATGAAAGGAACGATGACTCTTGAAAATGTGAGTTTTCTAGTATAAAAAATGAAAGGAACTATGACTCTTGAAAATGTGAGTTTTCTAGAAAGGTAAACACTTTCTCATTTTCTGAGCTCTCCTTATTCTTTTTGCTAGCTGCTGAAGAACTCTTGTTACAACTGCTTTTTCCTTTGGAACCATTTTTACAGAAAGATCAAACTTGTTATGACATCAAACTGTGGTTAGGGAAGGTACCCTATGTTACACATTACCACTGTTTTATGTAAGCACTAAAAGTGTGTTTATTTCAGAATTGTAAGCATAGCAATAACACAAGGTCTCCATACTTAAAGGGAAAAAGAACAAGAAGCCCAGGAGGTGGAAAGGAGACCTCCAGGGAGGAAGTTTGCACTGAAAACAAGTAAAAACTGATAAAGATCTAGGAGGTTTCACAGAATCATCACCTCTCAGACAGGATCTCAGTCTTCAATGACCCCATTCACCTGAGATGGCTGAACAGGCCTAGAGTGAGTGCTGAGAAAGCAACACTCAGAAAGAAAGTGTTATGCCAATTTCAGGAACCTGGACATTTCAGGACAGTGTATTCAACCCCCATGGGTATTTCCAGTCTCTATCAAACTGTTTATAGCCAATTTGCTCACCGTGTTGCCTCACACCTGCAAAACAGGAAGGTTACTGCTTTGCCTCACAGGTAGGTTTTAGCATTACCTGCATGTTTGTACACTCAGCTCCCTGTTATAATGCATCTCCTGATTGATGACAAATGACAAGGTTTACATGTGTCTGTACCCAGCAGAATGAGCTATGGGCATCTGCAGACAATCACTAGAGAAATACATCAGTCTTCAAATGTCTATGTTAAAAGATATGATTGCTTAAGTCATCTTAAGTAAATAATTTTTAAACGTGGATATTTGAGACACATCATCAGTACCAGAGAAAGGTTCAGGAAGACAGATGTCAACCCACAATTTCTCTCCATTCAAAGACATCCTGGCAGTCCTCAAGCAGAGCTCCATTTGAGGGATTTTCACCCAATAAATCCACTGTAAACAGTAACAGTAGTAAAATACTAACAGAGAGCCAAAGGTTTAGGTATTTTTGATACCTGGCAGTCCTAAAGCAATCAGGACTGCCAGGTATCAAAATAAGGACTTTCTCCTAAGGAAATAAGGAGTAGTGATAAACGTGCACGGAGTGAACACAGCAGCTGCAGAAGCAGCAGGAAACACAACCAACGTGCTTAAAACTGTACATGACTTGGGAAGAAACTCCTCCATCCCTCGTCAGCCACCCATGGGCAACCACCACGGAGCCAACAGCAGCC